ATACCTACATAAATTTCGTTAAAAGAAAGATAATATTGTGACAGATTAGGCGCAACGTTCATGATTGAGTCAAGGTTTCTTATATACTCAATAGTCATAGAATTCATACTTATTGTTTTCAACAACTTTTCAATTTCAGGTTTTAGTTAATGTAGTAAAGGCCCTTCACCTTGAAACAAAGTGTTGAAATTTGTCAGGATACCTAGTGAATAAGACATGAATTCCAGATATATTATACTAAGGGCCGTTCTTACCATCTCACGGTTAAAATAAACCCTTAGGTTAATGTACAATAAACCTATAGGTTTAGAATATATGTTTCTTACCAAACAATTTTTAAAAGTAACCTATGGGTTTTTTGTCTAATCCTCCAGGTTATTTTAACAGCTAGTTGTTCCTGCCGTTTAATTGCAAACTACATGGTTAATTATTATTATCTCTATTGTAATAAGTTTTTTATAGGTAATCACTTTTTTTTCACATTTTGTGTTGTGTTGTGTATATTCGTTTACCTACAAACTTTCTTTTAATTAATATGGAAATTCAAAATATTTTTGACCTTATTACTTCAACTGATAGTTCTGACAATGAGTTTGAACCCCAAGTTAGACGCCCACGTGTATTTAAAGAAAGACGCAATTATTTACTTACTATGAACAACGAGGAGTTTAAAAAACTATTTCGATTATCCAAAAATGCAGTGGTTCACATTATAGACCAAATCCGAGACAAAATTGCACATCGAACAGATCGGTAAATATTCATTATGATTTTAATAGAAAAAATTGTGTCGATGCTTTCAACTTGTACATTGCAATTGGTATTTTAGGAATAATGCGGTATCACCTGAAAATCAAGTAGTCTTGACACTAAGATTTTATGCATTGGGGACAATTTATCAAGCAGTAGGAGATTTTGTGGGTGTTAGCACGGCAACTGCTGGAAGAATTATACCCAGAGTTACTCATGAGATAGCTAAGATGAGGAAAGATATTATACGCATGCCTTCTACCCAAGAAGAAATTAATCAAGCTAAACTTAATTTTTTTTCAATCGCTAAATTTCCCAGAGTTATTGGTGTAATTGACTGCACACATGTAAACATTTTATCTCCAGGGGGAGATAATGCAGAAATTTTTCGAAACCGAAAAGGATACTTTTCTATCAACGTACAAATTGTAGCTGGAGCTGATCTAAAAATTAAAAATATAGTTGCTCGATGGCCGGGCTCAGCACACGACAGTAACATATTTTCGAACTCCCGAATCAGAGCCCAATTTGAAGACAATATGTTTGAAGACGCATTATTGCTTGGAGATAGTGGGTATAGAGTAAGCAATTATATGACAATTTTAAATGAACCTAGAACTGAAGGAGAACAATTATACAATGAATCACTGATTAGGACAAGAAATATAGTTGAAAGACTTTTTGGTGTGTTAAAAAGACGATTTCCTATTATTTCACTTGGGATAAAATCATCTCTAGAATTAACACAAGGAATTATTGTGGCTTATGCTGTATTACATAATATAGCACGTGATTTCAATGAAGAAGAATTTGAATTTGAAGAAGGTATTCAGCAATTAATGCAAGCTTCAGAAGAAGTAAATGATAATTTTAATCTAGAAAACCCAAATAATAATTTTAATCAAAATAACAATCCAGTAAGAATTGCAATCATTGATTATTTTGAAAGGTAAGTACTGAGGAAATGCTTTTAAGTTACACCCGTTTTCATTTTACAGTAAATTGATTTATTATCCAATTTAAAGTTAAAGATGCTCATAAACTATCAAAAAAAACTGACATGAAAAGACAGATAATATTCTTAACTTTAAATTTGATAGTTGGTCAAGGTCAATTTTTGAATTTACTGACGCAAATTTGCCATATTATACGTTTGTAAGACGGAGACAACACATGCGGATGTAGCGTCCTCAATACCAATTTAGATATTAATTTTGTTATGTGTTTGGTGTTTCAGATTGTGAAGTACAACGTTTTCAACATTTTATTGTTAAAGATAAGAAAAATGGCCTTAAATAAATATATATATACATTTATTTATATCACAAAAGTTATTTTTATAATTATACATAACATTTTTCATTATTTTATTTTAATATTAATAATAATAGTGAATATTTCATAACGTAAATTAATAATAAGCAATTAAAACAAAAATATATAAATATAGCTATATAAATTTGTACTTAATGTTGTATCACATTACGAATTTAATGAATTAAAAACTAGTAATTGTCATTAGAAATTATGGTTTAGTTATTGTTATCATATATTTTTTTAGAAACTAAATAATAAAATTTATATAATATTAATAATGAATTTATGAAGTAAATTAATTTTATCATAGGATTATAATGCAAAATAGTATTTAAAACAAGGTTTAAACAATAACATATAAGTATACATAACTATTTAAAATTAAAAACGAATTAATTAAATTATTAGAAATTAATAGATTTTTAGAAAATACATAACATAATTAATATTAATAGTGAAATAAGTAAATTAATCAAGAACAATAATAACAATATACTATCATTATACTATACTATATAATCAGACTTGATTTCAGATTTTAACTTGAGTATTTCTAATTTCTTTTTTTCTATTTCTAGCTCAAACAATTTTTCATCATTTTCCTTTTTTTTTAAAAAAAATATGCAAGCTCTTCTTTAGCTAGTTGAGTTTTAATCTTGATCAAATCAATTGTATTCTGTCTTACTTCATCTTTTAAATTTTCATACTTTTTTTTTTTTTGAGGTTGAGAACTATCATTGACACATCTTACCTGTTTTAATTTTGAACTAACTGGTGTTTTTAGTTGAGCTGGAGACCAAGATTTCCAATCTTCAGTGGAAATAATATTGGAAGAAAATTCATTTTGAGCCACATCAGTTTGGTTTTTTGTTTCAATGACAGAGGAATTTAATATGATTATATTTTCATTTACCACATTGCTAGGATTAATATTCTCGTTTACAATAATTGTCTCCTAATAAAAACAAAAACATAATAGGAATTTGGAATATTAGGAATTTAGGATATTAGGAATTTAGGATAGGTAAGCATTAAGAATTTATCTTTTAGCAAATTGGATCAAGATGGTACTTTAGAGAGGTCATTTTTCGATTTTCTCAATAGTTATTTAATGCCACGGGAAAAAGTACTGAAAAATTACTTAAAACCACTTAAAATGGGATTTTAATTTCTAACAATTTGTTTATCACCGTAGCAACAAATAAAAAAATAATAATTAAATAAATAAAATAATTAATGACAATATAAAATATAATATACAGACTGACAAACCGTCTCTGTTCAGAATCGTTTTTCTTATACAATGATATTATATCATTGAATTCAAGTTTAATACAATCCATTAAACAATGACCAACTTGTAACCTACTGTACAGCTGAGCGACATCCACTTACCTGACTTTTTATATTGTATAAATAATAAGACAGACTAGTTGAATAACCTGGCTTTGCTTGCTTGTGTGTTAATAATCGATTCGTATATAAATTGGTTTTTTTTATTATAAAATGATACTTATTGTAATTGTTGGTAAATGTTACTGGTATTGGTGTATTAGATATCTACTACCTATTGTTGAAGATGGATGATTTATATTAAATCTAGAAAAATTTTAAAAACCATATTATTTATTTCATTAGGTGTCTGTAAATGTAGTAGTATTCTGTATTTCATTTTCTTCAAAATTTTCTTCAACAATTCCAATATCTAGTTAATGTATATTCAAAAATTAATACTCAATAAAATTTAAATATCATCAATCATTGATAATAATAGTATTGTGTGAATTATATTATGTTATTAAAAATATCAAGATAGACATTAATACATTATATTTAATACCTACAACGATATTTATTATAATAAGTTAAAATTAAAACTAAAATTGCTTATTAAGTTTAAGGAAACCTGTTAATGGCTGTTATTATATTAATATATTTATTTAGTTCAGAATCAGGTTAGGATTTTCAATAATATTATTAATTAATCATTAATGGTTTAACTAATTTTTAAAAAATAAAACTGTAGAAAATATTATTTTTAAGACTATGATGACATGTTATATATTATGGTAATGAGTAGACCATGATAATTTTTACTCACTATCAATGTCATCATCATCATATGGGTTATTTAATCCCTCTCCAGAGATACCAAGAAGAGAAATAATCTTGTCTATTGCCTCAGAACGGGGAATTTTTTTACATATACCACCACCAGTACTAAAAATTTCCCTCTTTTCTGAGGCCAATACTTTTTTAGAATCCTTTTTTAACTTTTCGTACCTCTCTTTTAATGATCTGAAAATTTAAAACTGTATTAAAAAAATTAATTATGATTGGTTAAGTATAACCAACAAACACACAACTAAGATTTTGTACATTTTAGGTAAGTATTTTAAATTAGAACTTACTTAGCAGGACGTACAATCCTTTAGTTTTCCATATGTTTTGGTCACTTTTTTTATTTTCAATGATGTCTTTATATTTGATGACTAAGTTAGAGAGAACAACAAGATGACTTTCGTCATACTTGGGTCCTCTTGTTCTTTTATCCATAATGTTAATTTAACTAATATATATTTATATAATTTCAATAAAAATCAATATAATATTTTATTTTTATTTAATTAAATTACAATTAATTTGAAGAATATTGTCAAAATTAAAGTTAAAAAAATATTTTACAGTTTTTAAACCTCGGTTATCAAAGAAAAACACGAAATGAATAAATAAATAAATGATAACAACGAAAAAAAGTGATAACAAACATAGTTACTAACATCAATACTATAATTTCGGTGTTAACCTAGAGGTTGCCCAAACCTGAAGGTTTAAAAAGTTTGTGAGAAAGATATTAGTTTAAGTTATAGGTTTATACTCCAGTTGACCCAACCTATAGGTTAGGGTAACCGTTAAGTTAAAAAAATTAACTCTCACTTGGTAAGAACGGTCCTAAATGAGTTTTCCATAGTACTATAAATTAATTCTGATGTTTTGGAGGGATCTTCAAAATTAACCAGTCTAAAATATTCTTTGAGAGCAGAAAATTGTTTTAATACTCTATCAACACACGCTTTTAGTGACTGCCAGCGAGTTGTACAAGGTGCCAATATTTTATGTATTTCCACTTGAAAAAATTCTTGAAAGGCTTTGTATTTGGTTTGGCGAGAATGACTAATACTCAAATGAGAGCCTACGTTGCGCAATAAATCTTCAATAGATCGTGGTAGTTTTAGACACGCCTTGGATGCAGACAGATGAATCATATGACAAGAACATTTAATACAGGCAATACCTGGTATAGCAGTTTTCAAATTTGTGAAAACAGAATGAAATTTTCCAGCCATGGCATTTGTTGTGTCTGAAGAAAATCCAACCATCATATTTTTCTCTAAACCTATATCTGAAGCACATTTTAGAAGGGTGTCCGTCAGATCATCAGCCGTTCCTTAATTTAAATAAATATTTTTATGTAATAATAGCATCGGAAAGTTTTCGATATATGTATACGTTTCATTTAATTTCAAGTAATCTGATGCTAATTTTATTTTAAATATTTTTAAATATTTTAGAATAATTAAATATTTTTAAATATTTTAGAATAATTAAATTTTTTTACAAATAAATACATAAATTATGTAATATTGTAGAATTTCAGTGTATATTTTAATTATTTTACAAATAAATATACGTATTCTGTATTATTGAAGAATTTCCATTATTATTTTAGTATTTTGCGATGCCATTAGGTCTCTGTACTGTACACTTTTGACATCAAACGACAATGATTCGATATCTTATCTAGTTATCTAAGTAGTAGGTAAGCGTTCGCTTTTCGATCAGTATTCGTATGAGCGTTATTCGATCACGTTATTTTCGTATGTGTCTGTGTGTATAGTTTGTATAGTATAATATTTTATAATTAGATAAATGTAACCCCAAAACTATATGTAAATTATTTAATAATGAAATGGGTGTTTTGTGGCCGAATGGTATTAAACACAATAATGTACTTTTACTTTTAACGGACGCCGCGCCGTATATGTGTAAGGCGGGAAAAGTGTTGGACACATATTATCCAAGAATAATACATTTAACTTGTCTAGTACATGGTTTTCATCGTAAAGCTGAAACATTTAGATTTCAATTTTCAGAAGTTGATTCGTTAATTTCCAACGTAAAAAAAATATTTTTAAAAGCGCCAAGTCGTATACAAACATTTAAAGATATGTACCCGGATTTAACTCTACCTCCCGAGCCTATTATAACTCGATGGTGTACGTGGTTATCAGATGTATTATATTATTCAAATAACTTTGAAAAGATTAGAAACGTTGTCTTAAATTTAGATCCCTAAGCTGCAATAGCAATAAAAAAAACCTGTTGAGCTCATAGACAGTAAAAATTTGCAAAACAATTTAGCATTTATTTCGACTAATTTTGGATTTTTGGTTGATACTATTTCAAAATTAGAAACTTCTAAAATGCCACTAACGGAGAGCTTAGAAATAGTTGATAACGCCATAAAGCAATTAGAACGGGTTCCAGGAAAAATTGGAGTTTTGACCAATTCAGAATTAAAAAAAGTATTGGAAAAAACACAGGTTTTAATACTGTAATGTCAATAAGAGACATACTATTAAACAAAACTCCAAATAACAAATATTCAGAAATTTAATACACTCCAAAAGAAATAATGTGTATGAAATATGCACCTGTCACGTCCGTTGATGTGGAGAGGTCATTCAGCCGTTACAAAGCAATGTTAAGACCGAACCGCCACCACTACACATTTGAAAATTTCAAGCTATATGTTGTTTCTAACTGTTTCCCACATGAAGACTATGATGAATCAGAATAGATTTTTAATTTTTTTATATTTTTAATTAATTATTTAATAATTCTATGTTATTTTCAATTTAAATATTTAAATATTATACATTTATAAATAAATATTTATTAAGTAATAAACAAATATATATTTAAATATTTTTAATTTTATACTAAATTAAAATCCGTTCCCTACTAATAAGACAAAGGTGCAGTGGCGCAAATAGGGAGGGGCTTGAGGAGGCTTAGCCCCCCAAAAATCACTCAAAGCCCCCTCAAAAAATAATAGTATACCATTCTTAAAAGTATGTACCTATAAATTATAATTAAAAAAAAAAATGTGTTGGGGCTTGAGCCCCCCTAAACATTTTTCCTATTTGCGCCACTGCAAAGGTGGAAAGCGCTGGTGTCCTAATCACTTTAAATTTGTTCGTTGCTTGCATATTATATAAAATTATAAAATATATTATACACTGTCCCTTAAAAAAGTATTGGCTGTCTTAATATCATTAAGTAGGTATAATTCTTATTATTTATACTATGTAGCAGTATGCACTCATTCAGTTGCTTGAGTAGTTGCGTACTTAGTGGCTCAGTACTTAGTGGCCCCTACTGTTAGCTATTAAGTATTAACTAATATAGGGGTGAGGGGTCTGTGTTTATAAGTCAATAATTATTACAATTAGAATATAAATATATAATAGTATACTTTCTTAGTTTCAAGTATCCACAAATAATATTATACAATTACAAAAAAATAACAAAAAAATTGACCTAAAATAAATTCCAAATTCATCATATCACAATATCCATTAGGTATTTATAAGGCGTTATACATCAATAACAAACCGTGATACTATCATAGATATATAGTAGTATACTTTAGAAGTTTCAAGTACCCACGAATAATATTATACAATCACAACAAAATAACTAAAATAGTTATTCTAGGTTTTTTATTATGTAATTTCGTCCAAATTTGAACTTAAAATGACTATAAAAGTAAAATTTGTTTTTGTATTGTTTAGATTTTTTGGTAACAGAATTAACTACTTACGTGGAATCTTGTTTTAAATTTTCAATCCTTCGATATAAAAGTTGAACATTTTATAAATGTTTAACTACAAAATATCGATCAAAATTCGATCTTTAAATGCTTATAAAAAAAAAATGAGCATATGTATTTTTAATATTTTTCAAATGATATTGTCACAATATATCAGGAGCCTTGTATTAAATTTTTACACTTTTTGGCCCAACAGATAAAACTTTATTGATATTCATAGAAAAAAAAATAAAAAAATTGAAAAATGAAAATATCCGTAAATAGCTCAAAAAGAATCAAAATATTTTCAAGATTGTATGGTGTATAGGAAATGCTAATATAAACATTCAGTGAAATTTTCATATATCTATAGTTATTCGTTTATGAATTACAACAAAATAAGGAAATCGCTACATGAGAAATCGAGTGAACATCCAATGTTGTAAAAATTTGAATTTCAAACGCTCATAATAAATTTAATTTGATTGTCCGGTAGAGATTTTTTTATTGATAAAGGTAGACAAACTTATGAGTAATCTTGTATTACATTTTCAAATCTTAGATTTAAAAAGAAAAATTTTTGCGAATTCTTAACTCAAAATAATTTGCTAATTTTCTTGATTTTTCCATATTTTGTCAATTTTTGAACTTTAAATGCTTATAAAAAAAAACTGTGACTAACGATTTTTAATATTTTTCATCTGCCTTTGAAACAATATACTAGGAGTCTTCTATTAAATTTTCAAGTTTTTTTAACCAACAAATAAATTTGTATTGATATTTCTAGAAAAAAAACTAAAAAAAAATGGAAAATGAAAATGTCCCTAAACAGTTCATAATAAATCAAAATATTTTGAAAATGTTATCGTGTATAGAAAAGGCAAATATAAACAACCAGTCAAAATTTCATGTTCCTACAGTCATTTGTTTTAAAGTTACACCAAAAACCAAATTCGATTTTGTCAAAAACCTATTTTGCGTAAAAATTCCCGTTTTTCCTTAATTTTTATGTTGTTTTTCCCGGCGCTTGTGAAAACTATTGGGAATTTTAAATTTTGACCTCCCCAATGCACCAACGATATTCACTCTCCAATCGAACAAGATACTGAAGTCGAAAATCGAAGCATTATTTCGACTACTTATCGTGTAAACAGACACAAAAAAAAAAAAACACACATCATTGTAAAATCAATACATTCATCGTTTCACTCAGAATCTAAAACACACATCATTGTAAAATCAATACATTCATCGTTTCATTCAGAATCTAAAAGTAATTACTTATTATAATTAGTTAATTAAATCGTAAAATAATTTTAAAGCCATATGACATTATAACATTTTACTACTATGAAAATAAATTTAAAGTTTCAAAATATCTCAAAACAATAATTAATGTAAGATTAATTAGTAATGGTGTACGAATTACTTTAAAAAATATAAATTTTTAGTTATTAGTTATTACATTATGCACTTTGATAATTTGAGCGATTGCATATATAATATAATTTTTTCAACACATAACATAATACGCAGGTACTCACGGCGAATAATCCTAGATTTGTTTCATAATAATAATATGTATTGTATTTAACATTAAGAAAAAGGTATTGGAATATGAATGTAAATGAAATGAAAATAAATAACTTCATAATTAATTTTTTTCTAACTCTTACGACCCACACGCAGCATAGCAAATTGGTATACAACAGAGCTAATCTTAGTGTTGATAAGTTTAATATTATGATAGTCAATTGAACCATTATCAAAGTTTTCCTTTTTTATGATGGTTCAATTGTTATGCAAGTTGTAAGTAAAACATTACACTTTTAAAATGGTCATATATTGTAGAAAAATTTAAACAGCATAGACAAATAGAATGTAATAATAATAATAGGCCAATTCAGTGCAATATTAAACTGCGCTGACACCCTCCTAACATTACTGAAAACAAATTAAAATAATTCATTAATATAATAAAATGTAAAAGTTAAATTTACAAGTTTATATCCCCATTAAAAAATATGAATGGGAATTTGTTAAAAGGAACCCAAGTTACATTTTTGACAAAACTAGTTTTGTTGTATATTATTCATCCTCTTATGTAAACACATATTATATGCTTATAATTTGTAAATCAAAGACTGATTCAGTAAAATTAGGTACATAAGTTTTTCTTCTTTTTTTAAGATTGTTATTCATTTGTTCATATTATTCAAGTTTGTTATTTAGTTGCAATGTTATCTATTTAATTTGATGAAATAAATAAGAAAGTATTATGTTATTTTAAAATGTGACTATTATATTAAATTATGATACCTTAAATTAATAAAATTATTAGAATTTGTTTAAAGGTAGTACATCTATGTCATATTACAAAAATTGGTTATTTATAAAAGTACATTTTTTTGTATGCTATTTATTTTCTTTTTATTCATATGTAATAATGTGTTATTATTTTCTTAAGATTTTAGTTTTATACTCTTTTGATGATTTCAATTTTATACA